CGTCAATATGTAGTCCACCTTGAACCATTTATCATTTTCTCCCAATTTTTGTTTCTAACTCCGACACAAAGAAATGTATGGCTTGCTACATTTGCGTGAATCACCCTCTATAAGTGAAGAAGTTCGTTAATTTATCCTTGGTAAAAGGAACAGCTTGTTGAAGGTCTGCAAATCGACAAATTATCGAACTTTTTGATTTATCTCGCTCACTACATCTTTTTGGTATCTTGTACAAAATTTTTGTTTCACAAAATCAAGAACTAACTATTTAAAACATGTATAAAATATTCTGCTTTTTTTTCCTAAACAATGTGTTTCCTCACGATAAATAACGAACTAATAGTCACAGTAACATCGTTTCTCTAGTGTTTGCATATCATTTAACACTAGAACTACCAAACCCGTCAAAATGACGGATTGCAGGTTTCTTATTTTACAATTACTGGGGATACAATAACGCTTCTTCCGGAATTTATGTTGGCTTCTAATTTAACAATTCATGTGATATTATATTGCGTTAGATTGTATCACGTATGATGTATATTACAAAATTTTACAAGCTAACTTAGTACACACTCAATGCTGGTAGTTCTAGTATTAAAGAAGTTTCGTACTACCGGTTGGCAACGAATGTTTCATATCTTGCCACTAAAATGTTGCAATAAAAATTCCGAAGAATCTCAGCAAATACATTGTTATGACTAGGCTGCGGATTTTTATAGAAAATAAAAGTTTCTGAAGTAATTTATAAAGACAGAAGCAATCGTAGAAATTGATTTTCCCTCTTAAGTATCTTATTGGGTTCGCAATAAAATAAAAAACTCGTTGGATCCGATGAAAATTTTGTTTTTTATTGTATTTCACAGAGCCCTATAGGCTATATTAGGCCTGGCCAACACGCGGCCCGCCAGGCGATTTTATATTTCTATTGAAACTTTTGTTTCTCGTTGTATATGTACAAAAAATATTAAATAAATGAAAATTTGCATGTGTCATTGTTATAATGTGCAAGTGCGACTACGAACTCCAGTTCTATATTTGATATACACGAACGCCAAATGTTACTGAAAGAATCGGTTTTGCACTTAGTAATGTAGGAGAGTGGAATGATGACAATACTTATATTACATCCGAGAGATATTCCAACTTAAAATATTTTGCACAACGAGTTATAAGTGCTTTTGGATCCACATATGTTTGTGAAACATTTTTTTCGAAGATGAAATTTACAAAGAGTTCATCACGTGCTTCATTAACCGATGTCAATTTAGAAAACCAGCTAAGATTTGCAACGTCGAACATAAATATAGATTTACAAAAATTAAGTAAAAGAAAGGATAAACAAATATCTCATTAATTAAACCCGAGAGTTAATTATATTGAATCATAGTATAACAATAAAATTTTATTCATTTTGTATGTGTATTACATTTTTTAAAAGCATGTTTACCTAAAGTGCGGCCCGCTGTACCGTTTTGGGTTGGCCAGGCCTGTATAAATTTATGAAATCCGCAGTCTAATTATGACATTTTATTCATGTCCATAAGAGTTCACCAGTAATATCGACTGTTTTCGTAGTTTAGCAGCATTAAAGCATCATCTTCCAATTCCCATTTCCGGTTGCCCGACCGCTAAGTACTAAAAAACCCCATTAAAAATGATCTAATCGTGCGAACGTCTCGTTAACAATGGATTCCTGAACCAAATCTCTCGTACTTCCCGTGGAAGGTTGTAAACCCGTAACCTCTCAGTAACACTTTTGGTCCCTCGCAGCTTCCTAGATCGACTTTGTAACCGTGTTGCGCCACGGACGCATTCTTGCAATCGGGTGGCGATAATATCCCGGGGGCCCCCCGCGTGCGCGGCACGCTCGTTACCCGGAGACAGAATTACTTTAAAAGTAGGTAGCCACCAGCCGTCTGCCCCGCCGGCCAATTACACGGGGGGCAACTACGAGTATATAGAAGAGCCACCGCGGCACCGTCGGCTGATTTCCACCCATAGACCCGCGAATCGAGGATCCAACGTTCATCGTCTTCCTCTACGGCAACCATGTGGCTTCGAGTGAGTGCATTCGATCCTCAAACATACCGTCCCGTAGTAATCAGATCACCTCGAGAAGTATTTGCGTATTTTCGTAGGATCCAGTTGTGACCCAGAGTTTCATCGCGTTTGTACTTTTTATTTACACAAACGTTTTGTCTTCTTTTATCGAGCATCATGAGTGTAGTGTCGATATTCTGCCGGGAAAATTGAATTTAGAGTGGTTGGATACTTTGAAATCCGATAAATGGACGCTGATAAAATCGAACACGAGGCAATGAATTGAAGGGAGGCGTAAATGCTGCAGGGGGTTAATGAAAATATTAACACGTTATGGGCTAAATTAATATCCTTGAAAAGTCCACGAAGTGAAAGCAATTTTTGTAATCGTACGGTTACTTGTAAACCCAGATTTGTTACGGCACTATTCTTTTAACCTTCTCAAGTTTTGTAGGTCTTTGCTGAATTTGTTTTATTCAGTACCTGATCATAAAAGATTAATTTCGAATTGTGAATTAAACATTGTGTCACCTATATGTGGGTGACCTGGCAGTCAAAGTGTTAACGGAGTGTACGGGTCGAATGTAGTGAAAGTGAAAAACTGGCAATTTTGATTTTCGAGGTTCCGTAATGGTGATTTTAATCTGAAAGATCGGGAACGCTACGGACGACCGTCAAATATCGACAGCGAATGTTTAAAGGGTATAATTGGAGCAAACCTATATGAATCTTGTGAAGAACTTGTCGAAACATTAAATTACATTGATGTTTAAACTTATTTCTTTGTATGTTTCTTTTTTGTAATAAAATTCACGTCAAAGTACGTTAAGACTTCTGAAATAAACTGATATTTCACGGGCTTCTAAGCGGTCTGTCTGATTCATCGAGTCTTCTGAAACTATCTTCGATAAACTTTACTCGAACACCGAGGTACATTGTTCCTCGAGTTTTTCTTTTTTTTGTACGTTTTCGTGAGTGATGTATCGATTAGTTATACGAGTGAATATACAGTATCGGACAAATGTTTTCGGACAAAAACCGTTTCCTGTATTATTTGAATTAAGGATACTTATATGTATATATTCTGATAACTTATTTTATATTTTGTGATACATAGGTAGCTTCGTGTAACTTATATGAAAGCTTGCATCGGAATAATAGTAAACACTCTGGAGGACAGAACTTCAGTAATACCACCATAACAACAAATACAACGAAAAATGTCTTTGTCTTAATTCATTTGTCCGGTACTGTATATCCATTCTTAGATGTTCGCCAGTGAGCGGGATTAATTCTTATTTAAGTGGATGCCCAAGTTACTGATTTGAATGATCTGAAAAAGTGAACGGCATCCTTTGTGATCAGGGTTGATTAATTTCTTCAGCACTGTCACTTTTTTCACTGTCACTTTGGCGGTGGTAAATATATTAAACATGATACGATTGATTGCACTACTTGCGTATTAATGCTGTTCAATTTTCTTGTTTTGCCTTACAAGTTTTCTACTTTAGCTTCTTTTTTTATTAACCTTTGGAGTTTTCAATCTTGTTGACATAATAACAAAGTTACACAGTTGTAGACTAAATTCACGAGACCAGAAATTTACTTTTTCTATTAAAGAATTCTTAGACAGAATATAAAATAAAAGTGTAGCGACAATAGTGTTGCTGCATGTGGAATTTGTAATTTCTAATTATGTCGATAATCATTTTCAGAACGTTTTTAGTGATATAAAGTTATTTGTTTATATTTACATCTCCAGTGGAATTTACCTTTGCTGTATTTCATATTACGGATGACTGACAAAGTATTCAAAGCAATTACGTTTAAATATAATTGTTAAATATTTGTAGGCATATAATTTCATAGTGATAAAAAAATTAGAGATTTTATATATCTATAGTGCACGTAAAAGCGTGAAACGCATATGAACCCAAAATTCTATCTGAATTTAACCCTCCGTTGTCACACCTCTTTTTTCAAACGTACTTATCACACTGGGTCAATTTAACCTTAGCCAATATTCAATCAGTTGCTGTTTAAGAACCATATGTTAAATTAAGTCAACATTCTGAGATGAAGTTTGAACATTATAGAATATATTTTCATTATGAAAAATTAACATTTAAAGTATCATCATGTTTAAGAAATTTTGGAGAAAACTAAATCTGAAGAAAGGTTTTTTTTTTAGGGTACCTGAAATTACTATTACATGGCGCCAAATAGTACCATTTTCAATGATGCCTCAAAGATATTTTACTTCAAAGTCGATTTTTGAGTCAATTTGACCCTTTGTGACAATGGAGGGTTAATGAAGTCTTACTCTGGTTTAATTATTAAATTATGTTAATTGAAATATACATTGTTGTTCGTCAAATAGTGTATAAAAGAACAGAAAATAATTTTGTAATTAGAAGATGATATTGTTATAATTTCGTTTCTTTCTGTATATTCTGAACTTTCACTTAACAGTAAATTTATACTTCCCTATATAAAGTAGTAGCATCACACAAGAGAAGTAGTAGAAATTAGAAATTTCGAGGACTCGATTCACTCATGCAAATAAATATTTCGTAACAGTGAGTTTATAGCTACAATCTCTAGGTCACAACTAGGGAAATAAATTCACTTTATATTAAAGCGTAGAAACATTTCGAATCTATGTTCAAACGTGCACTAGATAAAATAAATTTCTGTATAGCAAAAATGCGGAAATTAAAACCTTTCTAAAATCATCTCACGGGATCATTTTATTCAGTTTCATTTTATTAGCTTTCTAAACCCAACATAATAGAAACATCGATTATGCGTTCGTTATATTTCATTCCTAGATACACATAATTTATTGCTCAATTAATCACATCTGAAGTTTCACGCGGTAGCTATCTATCAAAAGAAATAAATACCCGCAACAGCCGTTAAACCTTCACAGTATTCAACTTCCTCTTGCCTGAATAATGGAAAACGATCTACAAGCGGTACAATTAACACATTTGTGATCCACACGATAGTGACTCATTCATTTCAGTAAAAGTTCCCAGCATCCACGCGCCAGGTTATGAAATTTGTTTCTCTCTATCGTCTTTACTCGTTGTCTCAATTTCTCACAGTTAAACGTTACTTAAGAAACGATTTTGTTCTATTTTATCGTATTCGAAAGCGGTTGGGGCTTAATTTCATGATAATGTCGGGTCCATAGAAGGAAGTGAAACGTTAGAACTGTGTTACAAAGGAGGGCCGAGGCGGATTGTTATTTGCAAACCATGGGCCAGTTTATACAAAGTAACGGGACACAGCCGGAAACACAGTGCGGTAATGTTTTATCGAACAAAACGATATCGCGTACGAATTCTCTTCCGCGTGCGACGTCCTCCACCGTCGGTTTCCATCGGCTCGCGGAGAAAGACGGATTGTCCAGGAAGACTTTACTTTCTAACGGATCCCATTACCGTTACTGCATCGTTGCGTTCCTCTCTACCGCAAGAGAAGGGAATGGGAAACCATTCTTGCAACGAATAATTTATTCACCATCGAATCTGTTTCCAGATCATCCTTGTCGCCCTGATTTCGACAGCGCTCGCGCAGAAATACAGTGCGCAGCGGCCCGCTCGAACAGCCCAAGCGCAAATTAAATACGACGATCCTAGTGGTGAGTCTGAAATTTAATTTGCATAATACACCATGCGGATAATATTATTATCTGTAGAAAGGTGTCGTGCTGATTAGTGTACACTGTTCGAAACAATTAAAGGTAGGCACTTTTTGGAAAAAATGTTCTATTCTTTTTCAATACAGAGTGAAAGAAAAGGGTTCGTAACTACTAGGGTAGATAGTATTCGCCAAATGGAGAGAAAAGGTCTTAATAAACATGGGTCGAAAAATTAAGATTTTTAGACGCGTCAACAGTTTCCTGTTTCGGTTGAAACGGGTAACTTTCTTTCGGTTATCTTCTGTAACCAAGAAAAGAAGAGAAATAATAAGGGAATTCGTTGTTTACATACAATATGATAGCTCCCGAAGCAAGAAAGTCAGTCAAACCGAAACAAAGAATTGTTTATAATTTTGAAAATAATAGTTTTCCGAACCATGGTTTTTAGGGTCTGGGTTAGGTACTAAGTACTATCTGCCCTAGAAGTTATGAATCCATTTTTTTATCACTCTGTATACAAGCAAAATGTATGGTACATCAAATTCCTTGGTAATGGCATTTTCTATGGGATCCCACGTTAGTGTAATTTCGTTTAAGAATACTCAGTGTGATAGTAACACGACAAACATCTTTCCAGGCCTAAAAGTCAACTGGAAGCTATTCGCTCCCCAAAACCAATGGCGTGCTCACCTGGAAAACTCGCATCGTACCCAGCGAGGCCAGAATGAGTACGTTCATCCTCAGCAATCAGTGCAGAGACCGCAACAATCCCAATTGGTGCAACCTGACTTCGACCAGGCACACTACAAGTCGTACCAGCACGCTCAACTAGCAGAGCCAGATCCAAACCAGTACAAAGGATATTCGCAAGGTCATGCAGTCCAAGCAGACCCTAATCAGTACAGAGGATATTCGCAAGGTCAAATAGTCCAGGCAGATCCTAATCAGTACAAAGGATATTCACAAGGTCAAGTAGTCCAGGCAGATCCTAATCAGTACAAAGGATATTCTCAAGGTCAAGTACTCCAAGCAGAGGCGCAACCAGAGCCACAACAGATCCAATACAAAGCGTATCAACAAGCTCAAGCTCCAGTACAGGCACAACCGGACCCTGTCCAGGTCCAATACAAAGCGTATCCACAGGCTCAGGTTCCAGTAGAAACGCGACCGGACCCTAATCAATTGCAATATAAACCACTATCAAATGCACCGTCTCACGTGAAACAGTTACTATTCAATCACTTCAAGCCCCAACGTCCTTACGTAGACCCATCTGCCTTCCTGCAGACAACGAACTACGCTATACCACAGCAAGTTGATCAGCAACCAGCCAATGCTGAATTATCTCATTACGGGCAACTGTCAGAGAATTATGAACAATCGGAGCAACAGAAGATCAGGCGAGAGTACTCCGACAGAGGACTCCAAGGAAGAATTGTATACAAAGACGATTATCAACAGCCAGAACAACAGCAGTCACCAGAGGTTCAGTACGTACCGGTGCCGATCGAGAAATTACCTATCCCACCTCCATCGAAACTGACTTTTGATAAGAATATGCCACCTGAGATCCAGCAGCTGTTGCAGTTCCAAGCTCAGATACCGTACGATGTTATAGCGAACAGCATCAGCTACAAACCGAAATCGCTGTTCGTCCCCAAACCCCTTCCGCCTGATACACCTGGGCCGTATCAGTATCGCAGTAAGGTTTATTACGTGAACAATGATCAGTACGAACCGGAGTACGAGACGTCCAAGCCCGTCCAAGAGGACCAAAGGCACTGAAGAGAAATTGAAGATACTTTGAATTGAGAACTGGATTTATGTTGTACCTAGGGATATGTTGAGGGCCGAGTGAACTGAGGTGAGGAATTGACTGAGAGATATGAACAGCGATTTGAAGGTCGATGTTGGACTATATGTTAGGTTGGTGCATATGAAATGTTTTTCATTCGATTAAGGTTCAAGGATAGATTGTTCCTTCGATTTGTTGTATAGAATTTAAAAAATTTTTCAGATTAAGTATTCTTGACTTTCTAATTGTCTGTTAATTGATTTTTTACTGGTTAAATATTCTTGACTCCTATTGCGATGAATTCACACTTTCCAAAAGATTTCAGAGTTAATGTTTAATTTTTGGAGATTAAGCGATTCTTTAACTGTTTGATATTTGATTTTATAATTACTATCCTCGTACTCCTGTCATTCTATGACGAATTCGTAGTGTCCAAAGGCGTTTTGTTTGTCTCAACCTAATATTGCAATTTTGTTTGAATCTTATTTATATTAAGTTCTATAGCGGATATGAAAATTAGAAATTGTAGTTATTGCTATTAAGGATTGACCAAACAAATCGATGATTCTTTTGATTGGTTGATGGTATTCGTGAACTGCTTTTTAATTTACTTGATTCTCTGATGTTTCTGCCATTGGGAATAAGGTATATTAAAAAATTAGAATGTCCTACTTATAGTTACCTAAAATTTTATAATTCAGTTCACTTGTAGTAAAAGTAAAAGTGTCATGCTTAAATCCTTAACAGTCCGCACGAAGTAGCGAAATTGACAATTTATACTTCTCGTCTGATATGCGGGGAAGATAGTTTTATAACTTCTGGTTGTTTTTTATTTCAAATAGTTTTATATTTTTTTACATTAGCTGACATTAGCATAAGTTTTCCTTTACTCCTTCTGCAGCTTTAAATGGGCATAAATACTTGTTATTCTTTCCGATTTACGTAATAATTACAATATTGAACATTGTTTTTGTACCATCAATTTCGTCGAACAGGTTTCTACGATAAATACTTCATTTGAAACCGTTAATTTGTACTTAACTTATATTTAAACGTGCGGATATTTATGCAAAATCGCACGTTGCCACATGTGTTTATAAAAACCGAAAGAAAATAGAAATATACATTGTTCTTTGAAAGTTTTTTACTACATTCACAATAGAACAAAAACGTTATCAGTTAATTATTTTATTTCACGAAGTAAATACATAAAATCAGCAATTTACATGAGCCAAATTAATTTAGCTTTGTTACTATATCAGTTACATGTATTCAGCGTCACAGCCACAATTACAATTTTCTGTTTATACAAAATTGCTAATAAATTCATCTGTTGATAAAAATGCGAGAGAACGCGTTTGCAATAAATTCGTGGTACTTTCTATTAAAACCAAATAAATTATTCAAGTGGTTTGCGTAGCGAGAATCATTTTCTATTTCCATGAGACCATTCCCCTCACGTTAGCCCAGACGAGTGGAGACGGTGGTGAACGGAACTTCCGACGTAAAAGTAACTCGATCGAGTGGTTACGAAATGGTTATCGATCTGTCGATCACCGCTTCCGAGGTGAATTCAATTAAACCGCAGCCGGATGAAGAACGCATCGAGGGTATTTCGTGATCCGTTTAAACCAACACGGCTAAATAGATCTCTTCTTATTAAGTCTGGTTAGAAAGTAAGATGGTTGGAAACCTTTCTAATAAAGACACGATCGGTTTTGTGAAAAAAAGCAATATGGCGCCGGTTGATCATCGACAGACGGAAAGTACCTAACTATATTTACTTATTTTGTTTCCCGATGTGATATCCGTTAGAAAAGTTGATGATATCTTGTCAGGAACTTGTCAAGGCTTACAGGTCGATATAGTTTCTGATACAGCGTTTGGAAATAATGGTGTGCAATTCTCTGCTAGAGACCGGTTCGTTTTAATTACGAGGAGAAGAGGAAATGCCTGAGCGATTGCAGATCGAAAGTGTTTTTAACTAAGTACACGACGATTTTATGGTGGTAGATGTTTATTACGACGATTTTTAGTAGAATTTATCGAACTTCTACGAAGTCGTAGTGTGTGACGAATTTTGTGGTAATAATGCGCTTTTCTTGTGTTGGCTAGAGTGGGTAGTTTCCACGTGGGCGGAAGTAATGGTGGATTTAGAATGAAGATACTAGGTGAATTTGTTTGAAATATAATAGGAAATCAAATTATGTTTGGAAATGAGTTAATCTGGGAGGAGAGAACTTTTGAAACATTTTTATATTCTAATTAAGATACAGATTTCGTAAGGAGAAGGTAGGGTAATAAGGATTCGTGCAAGGATTAGAATCTTACGTGGAATTGAATGTACTGTAATTATAACATTAATACAACTCTTATGTCGATATCACTAAATTCCATAAAATTACAACTATTTCTTCTATGTACTAATAACAAAAATTTCGAAGGAAGCATAACTATATTATGGACTTCCGTAACGTTTCACTTTTCTATTTTAGAAATCAATGAATAAAAATTAATGAATGTCCGTAATTAACAGTCTACCATATTTACTTCAATAAATATAACTAGAACACAGTTATTACAAAATAATCACAAAGAGTTCAAAAGTTCAATTGCCATAAGTTTAAGGAAAATAAAAATTTCATTTCATTATTTCAGTGTATACAACTAGTTATAATTATTTCTAACTTGTACTTCTGTTAAAATTCAAGAAAATTGAATTATTTTTGTAATCAGGTTTCAATAATTTTTACATATAACATTAAATATTTATGTAATGATTAAAAAATACAAAGTATTGCATGTTAAGATTGAAAAAATTATTGAATCTTCGTCATTTTTCAAGTATTTCATCACTAAATAAGATTTATAATATTATAACTCCATTTTTCCTTAAATAGTACACTGAATGATGCTGTAAATCAAGTTAATATGTCGAAGGAAGAAAATTATTTCTACACAAATGTGTACGCATGAAGGTAATAATTTCTAAACAATAGATAAGTGGTAGTAGAAAGAATACTAAATAACATCTTATAGTCTACTTTCATCCACTTAAATAATTAAGGCAACAAATAAATTCACTTTTCATGGTATACCTAATGCACTGCTCAAGGCAATTAAGGGATTACTAGTATATGCGGTCCACTTGCGCGATTTAACCGATGAAAACGGAACAAATGCCACAAGTTGCATAGATTGGCATCTTTTTTAAATGATATTAGTACCTCAAAATCATATTTTCATAATTTATATTTGTATCTTTAACTATACATCGTATGTACGATCACAGCGGTTGCAATATACACTCCTGTAATTATTTTGAACAAGAAGAACACATGTAATAAAAAAGAGCATAGAGTTCATTCTATCAAATAATTTTTCTTCCCAATCTTATCAGTAGGTGCAATATCTACAAGAATTTTCTGATTCTGAAACATAACTGTTTAAGTGAATCAGTTGCTAATTGTTTTACTATTTTTAACACAGAACTATAAACTTCCACATCTGTATGACTTTGAAATCCTATTTATCGATTAAGTGGAACGATTTCAAACATATCCAATTAGTAATTATCTAATGCACATAACATCCGATCATCGTCCATGCTCTCAATAAGTAGAAACAGTAAGCGATGGGCAGACGCGACAGACACGTCATATTCAATAGCTCGTCTATCTGACGAATACGTATTCAAATTTAATTTTCTCAAAAACGAAGCATAATATGAATAAGTTTTCTTATACATTTTTGGATCATTTTAACACAAAGAATAATTTCATCTCTTGGTACGATCGTTATAACTACACCATATAAATGGAATCATCATTTCGTGGCAAGACCATCTTGCGTCATATTCCATTCACGTTACAGAGGCCATCGATGACTCACGTTATAAGTATACTATGAAACTATAAATGGTTATAAGTAGAATGCGGACGTTTATACAAATATCAATTTCTGTGGAGTAGTTCATAAAGATTGAAGTCAAATACAACTTCATTTACTAAATTAAAGTCCCCTATAAGACTCAACAGAAAATAAAAATCTCCGTAAACTTCATTAATTAACATGTTGATTGCCAAAGTGAAAAAAACCGCAGCCAGGCATACTTTATTATGTTTTTAAGACATAAATCGTCGAAAATATACGAATTTAGTTAATAGTTGCTGTTGGTCTTGTATGAAATTACACTGATTTTACGCAAAAATTTCGTAACGCTTTTAAATAATTTAGCTTCTTTACAATGTGCATGTCACCCATATTTGGGTGATGTAGCACTGAACGTGCTAAAAGTACTGCGTTGAATTTTAGACAATTTTGTATGCGATGAATGCATAAAATCCGCAGTCAGTTTATAATACACACCGCATCATGTACGTAAGAATGGAAATATCAATTTTATTAATGCAAAGGTGTGGCGTACATTGAATAACAAAGTTAATACTTTAATTGAATAATTAGAACTAATTAATACTACGAGGTTCTGTATCATCAATACAAATGGTTAGTGATTAGAATGAAAAGATTTAAGCTACCGATGACCCACGCAGTATAGATCCTATTGACGAAGATTTTTATATTAAAAATCTATTGTCGTAAGGGAAATTGCAGGAACTGTCCATTTTTATGAGTTTCAGAACGGAAGCAACATTTCTCTGAACAAGGAAGACCGTGTAAATTGATCCAGTGGCCTTCACGCATTCTGCACCGATTCGCGTTGTTCTTCGCAATCGCGATTATGCACACGCTTGCACTTTATCGCGGTGCAACTTTCGTTTCTGCGTCGCTTGTTTGCACAAATGTATAATTCACTGCGACTTCTTGGAGTTCACCGAACTGCCATTGAAATATCGTTGAATATTGATAGGCAAGTATCTTGTTTCCAAAGTGTCTTCACTACTTTTGCTCCAGAAAGTCATAATCTAACAGAAAACTATACATATAATTTCATTAAAATTGGCATTTTGGTATTTAGAATTAAAATTGG